TCCTGTGTGGGAGACTCATGTTGAGTTCTTAGCTCCTGGCTTTTTCCTGGCCAAGTTCTATGGTTTTTTTGGGGTGACCTGGTGAATAGAAGAACTCTTTGTCTCCCTTTGTCCCTCTACATTTAAATAAAAGTGATAATTTTTAAAATCTCCTGATACTAATGCAGTAAAAATTGTACTTCTGTCTCTTCCTCCCAGATTCATCCACATTAGGAGGCCCAGGGCTGTCTTTCTTCCCAACAGTCCTAAGGAGAGAGCCTCAGCTCTTATTGCTTACTGGGAATGATGTGGCAATGGGACCTCATCCCCAGTCATGTCCCACAGCAAGAGAGCTCAGCTCAGTGTGTTCTATGGGATACAGATGACCCATGAGGCACTGTTGAAAGCATTTTTCCTCCTATACCAGACCAGTAGGATGGTTGGAATAACTAGACTGACCAGCCCCCAAATGAAATGCTTTTGTACATATGTAGGATCTTTCATAAGTTCTCAAAATACATATTATCAACTTATCAGTTAATTACATTTTTTTCTGCAAACTTTTTGAAGTATGCTTTTTCACCTACTGCTTCTGAAGTATTGAAGTATAAGGACAAAGAAATATGTAACTATCAATAGTTTTGTAATCTATGAGTATAATTCAATAAGAGTCACAACCTGGCGATGAAGACTAATTCAAATTAGTAAAAAGCACATCAGTTCCCAAGACATAAAATACAAACCCAAGCAAAGGCTTAGGAAATGAAATAGGAAGCTCTATTTAGAGACTAATGCTAACCGAGAAAGTGAGAAAAGTATTTGATTATTGGTATACAACATACAATTCTCCTTAGGTTTCATGATGAATAAAATGGATTGGGAGACAAAGAAAATCACATATTCAGCTGTGAAATTGAAAACAGAAGGCTGAGTTTTATGTCAAGATTTTGCAACTTGGATGTCAGCACCAAAGGGCACAGGTGACCTTCCTTGTGGACAGGTTCCAGGTACACTTATTTTCTCCTATTCCTCTTCCATGAATATAGGCAAGTCTTCAGGGACTAGGGTAACATGGACTGGCTGGCTAATTGGGAGCTCTGTGCATTGAGCACCCAAGGTCCTAGTAATGACCTGGCACATTCATACCTTGGCCTTCCTGGTGGAAATATAGTGGCTGCACTCCCATTGTGAGCATCTGCACCAGGACCCTGCCCAAGTTTGTCTCCAGTCCTGAGTGCAGAACCTGAGGCTCCCTCCATTGCAGTCCAGGCAGAAGAGGAGCAGCGGAGCCATCACCCATGGTCATGCTTCAGATGAGACTCAGCGCAGCCCAGTAAGTGCGGAGGGATAGCAGGGAAGGAGGTTGGACTCTTAGGAACATTGTTTTCTCCTCATCAGAAGAAAAGTGAGAGTTGGGGTAGACTTGTGGGAGGGAAGCAATAAGCAAAGCTTCAGCCCAGAGGACTGTGAAGTCTATGTTCTTGTTTCTCATAGGAGTCCCAGATATCTCATTCAGAGTTTGGCTTTCCTCCTGTATTAAGTCTCTCTCCCTCGCAGTCCTTTTCATGACAGAAGCAAATGCATCTCTAAACTGTCCCCTGAACACAGAAACATGATCATAATGGTGATGATGAAGATGCCAGGGAGCATAACATCATGGGCATTAAGAGGGCTTCCTAAGTATCAGGCTCTGAACTCTGTTGCAAGTAGGCTGTTTTATTGCATCTGCACAATCTCCCAATTTCTGTTGCATAGAGGAGCTCAGCACTTTTTTGTGACTTGTATCTGATAGTGAAGTACAAAGAATTGAAGCCACATTGTAAAAAAAAGTTATTATATTTGAAAGTTACAGAGAGGGAGAGGTGGAGAGAGAAAGTTTTCCATCCACTGATTCACTCATGAGATGGCCACATCAGCTGGGGCTGCACCAGGCTGAAGTCAGGAACTCCATCCAGCTTTCCCTTGTGGGTGCAGGGGCCCAAGGGCTTGGATCATCTTATGTTGCTTTGCCAGGTGTGTTAGCAGGGAAATGGATTGGAAGTGAAGCAGCCAGGACTTGAACTGTGGCCCATATGGGATGCCAGGGCTACTGGCTGCAGCTTTAGTCAATACACTGGCTCCTGAAACCACATCTGAATCAGACACAGGGCACATGGCCACTCTACCCCTCTGGTGACCCCAGCAGCAGTTTCACTTTCCTTCCACTGTGTTCTTTGCATGGGCTTCTCTGTTGATTGTGGGCAGTCTTGTGTGAAGTGTGGCGGAGCTCAAAGGCTAAGACCACAGGAGCCCAGGTCCATGCTAACTCAGAGGAAATGGCTCTCCTGACCCCACACCTGGGTTTCTCTTCTGCCTACTTGCTCACCACTCTTGTAATCACTAAAGTCTTCTCAATCAGAGACATAAAATGGGGTGTTGGTTTCCATTTCTGACTGCAGAACTGGAAAGAGATTACCAACGGTCCTCAGAGTTTCCTGTAGTTTAGATCACTGGAGCTCTGTTTAAGTCCTTCTGAGCAGGAAGAGATAATGAAGAAGTTGAATACATCAGATTTCAGATGCTGACAATGTAGTGTTGAATCCTATCTGCTCCACTCCAAGTTGTTGGCATCTCTGAGAGTTAGCATTGTCATTTGAGTTGGGACCTCATCTACAGAGCCAACAAAGCTCTTGTCCTCCAATGAGAGGACTTCGGAATATTCATGGAAAAATGGAATGAAAAGTATGAATTACTGCTTTTGAAATCCACATAGATTTTTTTCATAATACATTATTTTCCATACATTATAATTTTTACAGATGCTTTTTTTGTAAAATAAACACATTTTTATCTAAAAAGGCTTTGAAACTTCAATATGGCTGTGAACATGTATTTTTGAGAAGAATGAAACTTTCATTTTTAAATTTTTTTATTTTTTATTTTTTGACAGGCAGAGTGGACAGAGAGAGAGAGACAGAGAGAAAGGTCTTACTTTTGCTGCTGGTTCACCCTCCAATGGCCGCCATGCAGCCGGTGCACTGCGCTGATCCAATGGCAGGAGCCACGTACTTATCCTGGTCTCCCATGGGGTATAGGGCCCAAGCACTTGGGCCATCCTCCACTGCACTCCCTGGCCACAGCAGAGAGCTGGCCTGGAAGAGGGGCAACCGGGACAGAATCTGGTGCCCCGACCGGGACTAGAACCTGGTGTGCCGCTGCCGCAAGGTGGAGGATTAGCCTAGTTAGCCATGGTGCCAGCCACTCCCTTTCCTTTCTTAATGCCCTAATGCTGTACCTTCCTTGGCAGAGTGGAGGCATCAGCAATGAAGATCTATGTTACACGTTCAGTAGACCCTTCCATGGCTCGCAATAACTGGCCGTCATCAGTGTGGCTTTAACACACTGGTGCTTTCTTGAAGATCCCTTTCAGGAAAGTCCCACAGAACTAGAGACCATGGAATAGCTTGTGCTTGCATCTCTGTGAAGGACACATGGATCCTGTAATGGCAATTAATGTAATCTACAGCAAAATCTTTTGTTTCTGAGTATTCAAAAATCAAGGCAGAACTGTGTTTCACAGATAGCACAAATGCACAGGAGAAGGGGACAGGCAATGCTTGTGCTCTCCATTCTCCTAGATGATAACCTGTCACAGATATGGGTGTTATTCTTCCTGTGTCCAGTGGACAATACAATCACGGGGAGGTGGAGAGATTTACACATGTGTTGGCATGTATTGTAGGTGAATGATGCTGATTTCCTTACTCCCTCCATACAGCAAGCAGAAATAATGTTATGCCAAGTAGAAATAACATTCCCACACAACATGAAATTTCTTGTTATTAGGAAAGGATTACTACTAGATATTACACAGAAAAACATTTGATGATACTAATATAGAGTTGATATAGATATACAGATAGATAGATGGTGTATCAAATATATAGTTAGTTGGTTTATCAAAGATGTATTTGATTTTTTTTTGGAATATCAAACAGGTGTGGACAAAACCATACATGCATCCAATTTTGCTACTCATCCAGAAATCCTCACTTGTGTGATATGAAGAGAGGGGCATAGATTTTCAAAAGCTTGTCATAATAATGCACGGACTAATTAGATGATGCCCCCTCCCAGCTAAAGACGTGAAGCAGATGAAATGTTTGAAGTGAATGTACATCCCAGAGGGGCTTAAAACCCAACTTCAGTGCACCCTAGTCTGTTTCAGGGGTAGTAGGTGTGTATACTAGATACCTTCACGTACTTTTCAGGTGAGGTTTAAAGAAATCTACTTAGAGATGCACAAACTAATACTGACAAGAAGGTTCATGCGTTGTGGTGCACTTGGTTGAGCCTCAGCTTGGGAAACTCGTCTCTCCTAGAGAAGTACCTGGTTCGAGTCCCAGTTACTGATTCTGACCAAGCTTTCTACTAACATGCATGACAGACTCGGATGATGACCCAAGTACTCAGGTTTCTGACATCACTTAGGAGATCTGGATGGAGTTCTGGGCTCCAGCCTCAGCCTGAGCTCTTGTGGGCATTTGGGGAGTGAAGCAGTGGGGGAAAGATACCTCTGTGTCAAATAGGATGAAAAATGAAGAAAGAAAGATAAAAAGATTGAAGAAAACTTCCTTCCAACAGTCTTGTAGGGCAAACATCCATTTCACGGATGAAGAATCTGCACAAGTATGTTTACATTACTTCCTGGAATTCTCTTTTATATATTTCTCAGTTCAATCAGCTTCTCCTGCTACAGTAATGAACTACAGTTGTCTTAGGGCAGATAAAGTTATGTTATTACAACCCATGAATAAGGAAAGGTTAATATGAAAATATTTTCTTTATGCATAGGAAGATTGGGACTCAAAGTTGACTTTGTGTGCTCTCTGATACCAAACACTTCAACGGCAAATAGGAAGGTTTATGATCATAAAAACTGTAAAGCGGCATTACCAGGTTGTTATGAAAAAAGAAAAATTTAAAAAATATTTAAATAAGATACACCTCTCAAACACAAGATAATTTACTGATATCTTGAGGCAAATACAAAAATTACCTGTTTAAGCTTTTGAAAATTCAGACATTTCTTTTAAAAAATCCTTATTTCTGTTCACTGACAGGTGCAGAATACACTAAAGTTACACTTGATCACTGATTTTTGTATGATTATGTGCACTTAACTAAACCACATTTATCAAAATTTGACCCCCACCAGTGACTAGGATAGAAGTTATGGATCACATGGCAGACAGACACACAACAGTGTGCCCACAACATGGTTAAGATACCCCCTCCACAAGGGAGTGTCTGAGCTTGATTCCTGGCTATTGTTGATTACTCAGCTTCCTCCCAGACTGTGGGAGGCAGTGGTGATGACTAAAGTACTTGGGTGACTGTAACCCATGTAGGAGACCTGGATCAATTTCCAGCTCCCAGCTTCTGTAGTAGTCCATCCAAAGACATTGTAAACATTTAGGAGTGAATCAATGGATGGGTGTGCTTGCTTTCTTTTTCTCTCTCCCTCTCCCTCCCTATCCATGTCTCTCTGTGTGTTTCCCTATTAAACAAAAAGGAGATACAAAAGGGAAAGCAGAAAACTGGAGAATGATGAAACCTCTAAAAGATAACTAACACACAACAGTATGTTCCAATCATGAATGATCAACATTAAGTTAGTGTTGACATAACACAGTCCTGGCATTTAGAGCACAAATAAGTCAATGAAATTTGTATTATTGTTAAAATAAAGTATATTTAACTGCTTCTTAATTACGCTTATTTAGAATATTATCTTTGAAGACAAAAGGGCATTTCCTATTCTTTTTTATTAAAAGACTTGGTTGCATTTGACTATGTTCATGGACTAGTTATGTCTAATGTTCTGGGTTTCTTAACTTTTTTAAGTTGCTCTAAAAAACATTCTTTTAATTATATTTCTTCTGTGGACCTTAGAGTTACCCTGATGTTATACCCATGATTAGCTGAATTAAAACTATATGTAGAATAACTATATGCAAACACTGTGGGCCCATGTCTCCTTTTTCCATCCCTCTCTCTTTTTCCAGAAGGAGCACAGGCTCTGTTGAAACACAAAATCTGACGTGTGTCCTAGAATTCCATTTCGTGGGCTTCTCAGAGGATCCAGCCCTGCAGTCCCTCCTGTTTGGGCTGTTCTTGTCCATGTACCTGGTCACAGTGCTCAGGAACCTGCTCATCATCCTGCTCATCATCTCTGACACCCACCTGCACACCCCCATGTACTTCTTCCTCTGCAACCTGTCCTTGGCTGACATGGGTTTCACCTCCACCATGGTTCCCAAGATGATTGTGGACATCCACACTCACAGCACAGTCATCTCCTATGTGGGCTGCCTGACACAGATGTCTCTCTTTCTCATCTGTGGATGCATGGATGATTTGATTCTGACTGTGATGGCCTATGACCGGTTTGTAGCCATTTGTCATCCACTGCATTACCAGGTCATCATGAACCCCCGCCGCTGTGGCTTCTTGGTTTCTGTGTCTTTTGTGGCCAGCCTTTTCGATTCTCTGCTGCACAACTTGATATTATTACCAGTTACCTGCTTCAAGGCAGTTGAAATTTCTAATTTCTTTTGTGACCCTTCTCAGCTACTCAATCTTACATGTGATAACACCTTCAACCATGACATAGTCATGTATCTTATTGGTATTGTATTTGGGTTTTTCCCTATCTCAGGGATCCTCTTCTCTTACTATAAAATTGTGTCCTCCATTCTGAGAGTCCCATCCCCAGAAGGGAAGTACAAAGCCTTCTCCACCTGTGGCTCACACCTGTTGGTCGTTTGCTTATTTTATGGATCAAGTTTAGGCGTGTATCTCAGTGCATCATTCTCCACCTCTTCCAGAGAGAGTGCTGTGGCCTCACTGATGTACACCCTGGTCACCCCTATGTTGAACCCCTTCATCTACAGCCTGAGGAACAGGGACATCAAGAGAGCTCTGCAGAGAACTCTCAACAGAATTAGCTAATCTCACTGCCCTTGCCATCCTTGTGTTCCTAGAACTGAAATGGGCAGCTTCAAGATGTCTAGAATCAGTCCTCAGGTCACAGCATGTGAAGGCATCTATCATCATCTCCATGTCTTTTGGGCTTCTCTTACCACAACCTTTCCTCTCAACATATGGGAAGCTAACGCTGTAGGCTGGGGCTTTAACTTGCTGTGTCACTGTGCAGGCCCCAGGTTGGAGCTCTTAAAAAAATCACTACTCTACTTTCCACCTTTCTTTAATAAAAGGTCACTCATGGTCACTAACCTTAACTACATATGAAGTGTGGTACATTTCACTCATCTCTTCTCTCCCCACTCAGGCCTCATTGTTGGAGAGAGTCCCTTTAGTTACCATTTCTGTTCACATGTTTTTCCCTCTTTACCTCTGTCCTGCAGTAGCTATTGGACCCATTGCCCATATTCCGTTCTCTCCATTATGAGAACTGGATTTGTTTCTGTTTCTTGACTGATGAATACATCATGACAAGGGGCAAAGGTAGAGGATGAGCTGTGATAGGAGTATTTAAAAATGTGCACAAGGGGGCGGCACTGTTGCATGTTAGGTTAAGCCTCTGCCAGCAGTACTGGCATCCCATAGGGTGCTGGTTCGAGTCCTGGCTGCTCCACTTCTGATGCAGCTTCCTGCTAATGGCCTGGGAAATCAGCGGTGGATGGCATAAATGCTCAGGCCCATGCACCCATGTTGGAGACCCAGAAGAAGTGCTTAGCTCCTGGCTTTGGATTAGCCCATCTCCAGCTGTTGCAGCCATTTGGGGAGTGAATCAGTGGATGGAAGATCTGTCACTCCTTCTCTTTCTGTAACTCTGCCTTTTGAATAAAATAATTTTTTTCATGTGTTCAAGAAATCAAGCCAGTTTTCAATATCAGTCTTCTCATAAACACAAACGAGGCAGAATTTAGGGTCTTCTCATTTCTGTTGATGACACTCATCTTTTGAGGTGGGTGTTAGTGCCATTTGGGATGCCTGTACTGCAGGGCCTGGTTTTGAATCCTAGCTCCACTCTGATTCTGAATTCCTACTAATGTGCATCTTTGGAGGCAGCAGGTGATGGCTCAAGCAGTTGGGTCCCTGCCACACACGTGGGAGATGTGGACTGAATTCTTAGCTTCTGGCTTTGGCCTGGCCCAGCCTTGGCTGCTGTGGGCATTTAGGGAGTGAACCAGTGGATGGAGAACATTGCTCTCTCAATCTCTCAGTATTTTCCTTTCAAATAAAATAAATTTTTACAACTAAAAAAAGGAACATTCTTCATGTGAGGGAAAAACAGCAAATGTCCTATTTCATTGTGCAAACATAACTCTCCAGACATAGTATGTCTGGCAGGTGAGAACCTTAATTTTTTTAAAAGAAGGTTTGCTTATTTGAAAGGAAGAGAGAGAGAAAGAGGGAGAGAAAGAGGGAGAGAAAGAGAGAGAGAAAGAGAGAGAGAAAGAGAGAGAGAAGAGAGAGAGAAAGAGAGAGTGAGTGAGAGAGAGAGAGAGAGAGAGAGGGTGAGAGAGAGAGATCTTCTGTCTGTTGGTTCACTGCCCAAAAGGCTGCAATGGCTGGGCTATGTCAGTCCAGAGCCAGTAGCCTGGAAGTCCATCCTGGTCTCCCATGTGAGTGTCACGGGCCCAGGCATTCAGACCATCATTCACTGCTTTCCCAGGTGCACGGGCAAGGAGCTGGATCAGAAGTGGAGCAGCCTGGACTTGATTGGTACTGAGATGAGATACCAGGTGGCAGGCAGATTAACCTGCTACACCACAATGCCATTCCTGTCCAAACACTGAATGAGGCAATAGCACGTGCCTCCCACTCTTCAGGTTTCCAGTCCATCCAGCGGGAATGGTTCCTGTGCTTTCCATCACCGGAGGTGCCATGAGTGTTAGCCGGCCCATCACCGGAGCCACCACAGGTGTTAGCTGGTCCATTCCCGTGCCTGTCTTCTTGCCAGTCCTCAGGACAGAGCCTCAGCCCCCATGGGTCCCTGCACACAGGAGGGAGAACAGATTTGTGCTCCTTGGCCGTGCCCCTGAGCAAGGCAGCACGGACTGCAGGGTGCTTTGGGAGATGCTGGGTGTGAAGGATTGTCAGGAACATATTTCCCCAGTATCAGTTCACATCAGATGGGTGGGAAAGCAAGACTGGCTGCCAGCTTTCAGCTCAGAGGTCTGTAATGTTTATGCTTTTCAGTCTTGCTGGGAATTTGAGAATCCAACTGGTACCAAATGCTTGCTCCATGACACCATCTTGAGAAAGGAGCCACAGTTGGAATCTGTACTGCTGTAGGAGATAGAAACCCCTGTATATCCTCATCCCTGGGCATCCACAGTCACTCCACCATTCAGGCAAGAGGACCACAGCCTCATAAACCTAGCTAGACCCTGCAGCAGCAGCGACCAACATTTTAGCCTAAGCAGTGTCCTGCACTACACTGGTCAGGTGGTTCTGCACAGCAAAGTGGGTCCTATTCCCAAAACCTTAAGAAGGAGTGATCACCTCTGTGGATACAGGACCATGTCCCCTACTTCCTCAACCCCCACCAGGGCAGTGCAAGCTCTGGTTTTGGTGGGTGTGAGCAGTGCTGCATGTTTGTCCCAAACTCCCGCCCAGCCGTACTGTGGATCCTTCTGAGCCTGCCCTGACTTTGAGGGGACTCCAACACCCCACTTTTGTCAGTGTACAGATCATTGGAAAACAAGCATCAGAATTAAACTATACTATAGACCAAATGATTCTTACAAAAATAGCACATTAAGTCCAACCACAACAGGATACATCCTCTTACCACCAGCATGAACCAACAGCAAAGGAAGACCTTTCTCTCTGTCTCTCTCTCTCTCACTGTCCACTCTGCCTGTCCAAAAAAAAAAAAAAAGAATAGTCTTTAGGACACACCATTGATTAGGCCACAAAACAAATCCCAGCAAATTCAAAAAAATCAAAATCCTATCACATTATCCTCTCTGACCACAATGGAGTAAAACTAGAAATGGTCAGCCAAAGAGAAAACAACTCTAGAAGTTATCCAAATACATGGAAATGGAACATCTTGCATCTAAATGAAAAGTGGGTCCTTGAAAAATAAGGAAAATTTAAAAATTCCTTGAATCTTATGAAAATAGAAACACAACAGCTGAAAACTTATGACATATCAGAAGCAATTCTAGCAATTCTAATGAAAAGTTTATAACAGTAAGCACCAACACACACACACACACACACACACACAAATACCACAACCTAACTACATCTTAAGGACCTTGAAAAGCAAGATACAACCAAGCCCAAAGTTAGGAGGAAAGAAATAAACATCAGAGCAGAAATAAATAAAATAGGAAACTAAAATAGAAAAGATTAATGAAGTAAAAAATTTGGTTTTTTGAAAAGATAAAACATATATCTTTAGCTAGAGTAAAACCAGAAAGCAGACTTGAATAAATAAAAGCAGAGATGGAAAAGGAGACATTACAAATGACACCACAGAAGTATAAAGAGCCATTACAGACTATTATGAATGACTACACACCAACAAATTGGAAAACTTTGAAGAGGAGGACAGATTTCTACACCTATAACTGACCAGGATTGAACAACAAAGAAAACCTGAATGGATCAATAAAAAGTAGTGAGATGGAAGTGTAACAAGAAGTCTCCGGACAAAGAAAAGCCCAGGACCAGATGGTTTCACTGCTGAATGCTAGCAAACTCCTAAGGAAGAACAAAAGGCAATTAATCTCAAAGTACTCCCAAGTAATCGAAAGGAAGGGAACCCTTCCAAATGCATTCTATGAGGCTAGAATTACCTTGATTTCAAAACCAGTCAAGCACACAACAGAAAAAAAAACTCTAGGTCAATATCCCTGATGAACACAGATGCAAAATTTCTCAGCTGTATACTAACAATTGGCATTCAATACACACACCAACAAAAGTCCTTTAGTATGATGAAGTATGAGTTCTATCAGGGATTCAGAAATATTCAGCCTATGCAAGTCAATAACTAATATATCACATCAACAGAAAAAAAGGCAAAATTCATATGATCCCCTCAGTAGATGCAGAGAGCATTTGGCACTATTCAGCATCCACTCGTGACTGAAGATCTTAAATAAATTAAGTATAGAAGGAATACACCTCAACACAGTAAAGGCCAGATGGGACAAACCCATAGCCAACGTGATCCTGGAAGGAGCAAAGCTGAAACCATGTCCTCTAAGATCTGGAACCAGAAAAGGCTGTCAACCTTCACTGCTCTTATTCAATATAGCATTGGAAGTTTTAGCCAAAACAGCTAGGCCAGGGAAAGAAATAAAAGGCAGACAAATAGGAAAGGAAGACATCAAATTGCCCCTGTTTGTAGGGAAATAAAGCTGAATACATTCACCAGGAGACTAGTAGAACTGAAAAAGAAGTTCAGTTGCATGGTACAAATTCAGTGTGCAAAACTCAGTAGCATTTCTATATACCAATAATGAACTGCACCAGAAAGAAGTAATTACAAAAAATTGTTATGCCTTGCAATCCATTTAACCATGGGTATGAAAGATCTCTACTATGAAAATTACATAACACTACTGAAAGAGGTAAAGAAAACAAAACAAAAAAGATTTGCAAGATATAATTAAAATGTCCATACTTTCTGAAGAGGTTTCCAGATTCAATGCAGTCTCCATGAAAATACCAACTACATTTTTCATGCAACTATTAAAAATTTATAAAATTCAATCTTGAACAAAAACAACAAAGAGGGAGGAACCAGAATACTAGATTTCAGGACATTCCACAGAGCTATTTCAACTAAAACAGCATGGAACTTGCATTAAAACAGTCATGTAGAACAAAGGGACTGAATGGAGATCAAAAAAGTGAATCCATGAATCTATAGTCAACTTTGACAAAGTTGTTGAAAACACACATTGGAGCATGGACTGTCTCTTCAGTTACTGGCAAGGGAAGACTGTATATCCATATGCAGTTAATTGAACTAAGATGTTCCCTTCCTCCTATACAAAAATCTACTCAAAATGGATCAGAGATCTTAATGTAAGACCCAAAACTATCAAACTGCTAGAAAGAAAAGGGAAACACTTCAATATAATACCACAGGCAATGTTTTTTTTGGGGGGGTGATAAGATCCCAAAAGCACAAAAAAGAAAAGCAAAAACATATCAGATTGTATCAAAGAAAGAAACTTCTGCACAATCAAGGAAGCAATCAACAAAATGAAGAAACAACCAACATAAGGTGAGAAAATATTTAAGCTATTCTTCTGACAAAGGATTACTATCCAGAATATATAAGGAACCCAGAAAACCTAATTAGAAAACAAAAAATCCAGTTACGGAATGGGCATGGAGTATGAATAGAGATTGTGCCCTTGGACTGGCCTTCAGGGAGAAACATACACATTTAGCCCAATTCCAGGTGTGCGTTTCTGGTTCCACATGCTTAAGAAGCTATTTGGAAGGCAAGTGGGACTTCTAATGGCAGACAATAAAGAAACAACACGTGGGGACTCTAATACTGAAGTTACTGGTGATAGTAAAGGGCTCACTGAAGCAGCAGTTATGTGTTGTCAGGGGCAGCAATCAGCCAGCAGATGAAGCAGCCAACATGTTCCTATATAAATCTCCTACCTGTAGATGGCACTCATTCCAATTTTTAGCTTGTCTAACAATTGCCCCTACTGATACTAATTCAGACACTCACTGAAGAGAATCATATGGGCTTCCATCAGTGTAGAAAAGTTGGTATTATAATCCTGACAAACATGTTTTCTATACCTGACAATTGTGCCTTTCAAATTGTTGAGGCTACATGTGACCATACTCATTATGGAAAGGAGTTGTATTTCAATGACTCTCAAACAATCTGACTGGAAACAAGGAATCACCCAAAAGTGTATGTTGTGTGCAAACACCAACAACCACCCCAAAGAGATGGGAGTAGGGCTGGCATTGTTGTGCAGAGGGTTAAGCTGTGGCTAGCAATGCCATCATTCCATATCTGAGTTCCAGTTCGTGTCCTGGCTGCTCTGCTTCTAATCCAGCTGCCTGTTAATGCACCTGGGAAACAGTGGACAATGACTCAACTTTTGGGTTCCTGCACCCATGTGGGAGATCTGGAGGCAGTTCCAGTCTGGCCCAGCACCAGAAGTTGTGGACATTTGGGGAGTTAACCAGCAGATAGTAAACCTCTCTCTTTCTCCCCTTCCCTCTGTCACTCTACCTTCTAAATAAATCTTTTTTTTTTTTAAAGCCCAAAACATAAGTGCCCCAAGTCCCAGGCTCACAGTTCTGGGGACAACTACCTGGGGGTCAGCAAACTGATTTTACTGTGATGTTGACAAGCCAGGGGACTTAAGTACTTGGTAATAGTTCTGGATATTTT